TATAAAGAATTACTTAGCCTTTAAGCATGTTAAAACCACATACAGAAAGGCAATTTTCTTATCCAGCCAAATGTAATGTCCATCTGGCTGTCCTTGTAACATCTGGAAACAAAAAAAAGCTGCTACCTTTTCTCTGATGGCTGGTACCCGAAGTGTGTGGAGTTGCAATGGATGTTTTCTCATTCATGGAGGTGTGTCCCTTATCACCATATTTATAACTCTTACGGATTGCTCTCATGTCCCCTTTGCTACCTTATGATTTTCAGCTTGTAGGAATTTCTACATGTTCTTGTCTCATTGACTCAAATCCCATTCACTTTCCTACAGTTTACAAAATGTCCATAACATCCATTCATTTATTTACCCTGCCTTTCTCCATGAAAAGGACCTAAGGTAGCTTAAAAACAATGAAAGACACTGTTTAATGCTGAAAACAATGAGTACACAACAGTGGTTAACATCATTATAAGACAATTATTTAAAACCATGAACGATGAATAAGGAGGCATCTTACCACACTAACAGGCAATATTAAGGCAAAGATCAGTAAGTATACAAAAAGTCACTATCAGAAATGTAAAATACAAAAATGGAAAACACAAGTAGGACTAAAAAGCTAGTTAAAGCAATAGTTTATAACAATCAATTTAAAAAATCACACACTGGTAGCTGAAGGACAGCCTCTCTGAACAGAAAGGTCTTTGCCTGCTGGTGGAAGGACAGCAAAGATGGGGCCCGGCTGGCCTCCAGTGGGAGGGAGTTCCAAAGTCTGGGAGCAGCCACAGAGAAGGCCCTCTCCCGTGTCCCCGTCAAATGCATCTGTGATGTTGCTGAGACCAATAGAAACAACCAGTTCTGATGATTTATTTATTTATTTATTTATTTATTTGTTTGTTTGTTTGTTTGTTTATTTATTTATTTATTTTATATGCCACCCACACTACCCAAAGGTCTCTGGGCGGCTTACAGCTTTTAAAATACAATAAAAATTCAGGGCAATTAAAATACAATTACAATTTAACATACAATTCTGTAACATGAACAGGATCAGACACGACTTGCTACTGTGGGGAGGGGGGTGGAGAGAGAGAGACCTACTTTGCAAGATGCATAGCAAGCGGTGCAGGGAGATGCCCGGGGGGGGGTTCCCTGCTGAGTGGGGTCTTGCAACCCCTCGTATCCCTCCCTGGACCCCCAACTACCCACCTCCTCCCAGGTCGTGATGCGAAGAGAGAGAGAGAGCGCCCTCCCCCACCGTGTCCTCTGGAAACCATAGAGGTGGAGCCAGGAGAGGCCGCAGGCGCCCTGATTCCATTTCCGGTTCTTTTTTTTTTTAATGCATGAAAGGGAGGAGCTGCTCTACCATTTTCGTCGCTCTACGTTCCCTCCCTTTGTTACATTCTTACGAATGTTTTTATGAATGGAGAGAGGCTTAGGCGGAGCGAGGGAATGAACGGCAGCCAAACGGAAGCGGGGTGGGGGATGGGGAAGGGATCATTCAGAAAAAAGCCTCCCGCCTCCAGTATTACTGTATTGCAAAAACTATATATTTTGTATTGTTGGCTCTTGCCTTTCCATTGGACCATTGCAGCAATGTGGAGAGGGGGGATCTGCTGCTTGGGTAACAGCCTATCCTCCATATTACCTTACCCGGGCTTCATGCTCTGGAGAGGACACTCCTCGATTCAGAGCATGTTACCATAGTCTCTCGAGACTGAAGGATGCCTATGATGATGATAACCAGCGCATGGACAGAAAGCAGAAAGAGCTTATAAGGGAAATTTTAGGGTCGTGAAATGGATCCAAGGTTTTGACTTCAGAATAAGATTGAAGATGGAAAGGAAGATCCTCCCCCCCAAATCTTCTTTTCCAGCCCCCCCCTCCCCAAATGAACCTATGGGTCTCTCTCGCTGAATGGGAACCGGAAGAACAAGCCGGTGTCCCGCGCCTTTTCCTTCCCTACCTCTATGGTCTCCGTGAACGCGCTTGGAGGTCCAGCGGAGGAACAGCTGGATGGCGCGAGGCTTCCCGGGGATGCAAAAACAAAGGCGAGGCGATCAGAGGTGGGCGGGGCGGAGCGGAATCCCAGAGGGGAGGGGAGGGGTGGAAGGGGGTGAGGACCTTCTTCTTTCCCCTCCCCCCCCCGCACACGCACCAGAGGGTTTGCCATGAGTTGCACGCTCCCCCTGCAAAGGAGGCCCTCGCTGCCTGGCCTTTTTTTGGGGGGGGGGCTAACTCAGAAGACAAGCATCGGAGTGCCAGAATAGGAACCTTGCACAAGGTGTTTTTTTTTTGTTTTTTGTTTTTGGCAAGGCAACCCGTGGGGGGGGCAGTGGTCCCCAACCTAGGGCCTCCAGATGTTCTTGGACTTCAACTCCCAGAAATCCTAGCCAGCAGAAGTGGTGGTGAAGGCTTCTGGGAGTTGTAGTCCAAGGACATCTGGAAGCCCAAGGTCGGGGACCAGTGCTTTAGAAAATGCCCCTCGAATGCAGAAGGGGCCGTGGGAACAGCGAGAGGGAGAGAAGCGAATCTGCGTCTTTGCCTTCTCCGGCCAGGGGAAAAAGGAGAGAAAATCAAAAGCTCTGTCAAGTTTGGGAAATGCCATTTTTTGCAGGGGGGGCGGCAGTTGGAGGGTTCCAAGTACCAGGATCTCCCCCCCCCCAATTCAACTTGGCCAGGGGTCCTGGGAGAAATACTCGAGAAAATATGTTTACTAGGGGTTCCCTCCCCTGAGCATCCTCAAAGGAAGAAGCAGAGAGAGAGAGAGAGAGAGAGAGAGAGAGAGAGAGAGAGCTTCTATATTTAGTATTTGGCGGTCCAGGTTGGAATTTTTAGTTTATGACTTCCTCTCTCTCTTCCTTGCCCCACACAGGCACTTCTGGGTCAGAACCAGCACCTGGGAAATGGGTGGGGATCGCACATGAAGAGAAGCTTGAGTTCTGGAAGCCCCTGGTCGTGATCCTGCGGTGGGGACAGCATCCGTGCCCCTTTCCACACGGTCTGCTCTTTGGGGCAGGATGGAAACAGCAGCCCTGCAGCTGGGCCAGAGATTATTTGGGGTAAGTGGGTTGGTGGGACCCATTTAAAGAAGCAAGGCGAAGGGGGGGGAGGAATGGTGGCAGGAGCCAGTCTCTCTCTCCCCCCCAGCCGGCTATTACTGGCATGAAGGACGAAGGCCGGTTTGGTGAGCAGAGACACCGTGTTGCCCCATGGAGGTGGAGCTGATGCCCTTTCGCAATGGAGGTAGACTTGGGGAGACTCTAGGTCTCTGTTTCTCGTGCCCGTCAGTCTGCCAGATGTTCTGCAAACCTTAAATCTCCTCCTCCCAGCAGCCTCCACAAGGAAAGAAAATACACTCTGCACATGCTCAGGTAGCATCTTCCTTCAGTTCCTGTTTTGACCAGCTGCCTTTTCCCTAAAAAGGGGCGCTTGGTGTATCCTCAGAGCAGCTGCGTAAGGCCATATCAGAGCCCTTACGCGGGTCCCGAAATGGAGGAATCCGGCCTGTGCTGTGGACAGAAGAGGCCCTGATCCACCCCGTTGCCACGTTCTGTGGAGTTTGTGGGAGGGGCCAGGGCTCTGAGTTTACCACTTTGATTTTTGGGTAGCAAAAAGAAAAAAAAGACAGCAGCTGTTTGTTCAAAGAGTGTGAACTCCTTCCTCCAACTTCGTCGCCTAAAAGGCTGCACAAACGATGCCCGCTTCTCCTTTCAGCGCCCGGTCTCCTTTGAGGAAGTGGCTCTGTATTTCACGCGGGGGGAGTGGGCGCTCCTGGATCCGGGCCAGAGAGCTCTCTACAAGGAGGTCATGATGGAGAATTTCCAGAACGTGGCTGCTCTGGGTAAGCCTCCCTGGGTCGTCCGTGGATGGGTCCCCAAGGGCTAAACGGATACGGTAGCCATTTGTGACGGTACCACGGGGAGGCAGGTGGACAACCAACCAGACCCCCATGCCATGGGCGCAGCTTCTGTGCCGTACCACCCTACTTCCAATGATCATTCGATCCGGCGGTGTTCCCAGCGAGTGAACCTGGAGAAGCGTAGATGGCTGTCCGGTTTCAAAACATGGCTACTGGGTGGCCGTGGAGGCCACCCTCTCACACCTGGGGGGGGAGGAGTGCCGAAAACGGGCATTGCCTGTCCCTGTTTCTTGAGATTTCTCATCGGCCGCCTCCCAAAGAGTTTTCTCATTCTTTCTTTGTCCTCCACAACAGGAAACACAACCGCTTCAGAGACGCTGTCTGGATCTTGTCCTCTTCCAGGTGGAGCAGCAGGATCTCTCGGGCAGCCCCCTTGGGTAAGAGAAAGCTTAAGGTGCCGCCCCCTCCCACCTCTGCCCCCCTGGTCTCCCTGGGGTTGTGAGGAGGTGGACTGAGGTACTTCTGAGGGAAAGAAACCTCTTTGTTTCTTCGACGACAACTTTCTAGGAGGGAGCCAAGTTCGGGACAGGGAGGATCGGTGGTAAACTGGTTTCCTTTCTCTTTCAGCTCCCCATCTCCTTTGAGGAGGTGGCTGTGTATTTCTCCCAAGGGGAGTGGGACCTCCTGGATCAGGGCCAGCGGGCGCTCTGCCAGCAGGTTTTGGTGGAGAATTATGGGAATGTGGCCTCTCTGGGTAAGGATCTGTCCTTCCTTTGCTGTTTTGTGCAGGAACCCCCTCGTGGCAGAAAGGGGAAGCAGGTGTCCATGTTGTGTTCAACAGCAGATAACTCTCATCTGTTTCTCTCTCTCTCCCCACCCCCAAGTTCCCAGACCTGGCCTCATTTCCCGGCTGGAGGAAGGGGATGACCCATTTGTCCAGGACTCCTCAGACGGAGAGGGATCAACAGGGGGCCGCTCAGGTGAGGTGTGGAAATAGAAAAGTGGTTGCTGGCTGGTGGGGGGTGTGGTTCCTGTGAAGATGGGGGCAGGCTTTGGGTAGCAGTTTAAGCACATATGTTTGTTTGTGGGGGTGTTGTATGTGTTTTAGTTCTTTAAAAAGCAAACACTAGTGAAAAACTATTCTTCTGGGTTCCAGTTGCAGACCCCAAAGCCTTAGCAAAATGCCCCTTGATATTCTGGCTAGCAAACGAACTAGGTGTGGGCTGGATAAAACAACGGTCCGGTGGATAAACTGTTGGTTACAGAATCGTAATCCCAGAGTGCTTATCAATGGCTCCTTCTCTAACTGGGAGGAGGTAACAAGTGCGGTACCCCAAGGCTCAGTCCTGAGTCTGGTGCTCTTCAACATTTTTATGAATGACCTGGACCAGGGGGTGCAGGGAATCACATTTGCGGATAGTCAGCCCATGGGTAGATGACCCACCAGGGGGATGACAGATGTGCCCCTCTTACACTCATGCAGCCCAGATTTAAACCCTTCAGTTGCAGATGCCAAAGCCTTTGGCAGAATGCCCCATGATGTTCTGGTTAACAAACAAACTAGGTGTGGGTTGGATAGAACAACTGTCAAGTGGATAAACTGTTGGTTACAGAATTGTAACCTCAGAATGCTTATCAATGGCTCCTTCTCTAACTGGGAGGAGTTAACAAGTGCGGTACCCCAAGGCTCAGTCCTGAGTCTGGTGCTCTTCAACATTTTTATGAATGACCTGGACCAGGGGGTGCAGGGAATCACATTTGCGGATAGTCAGCCCGTGGATGGATGACCCACCAGGGGGACGACAGATGTGCCCCTCTTACACTCATGCAGCCCAGATTTAAACCCCTTTTTAATGTTCCTTAATTTTCTTGAAAGTGCAATTGCTGAGTGTATTAGGACACAACTCATGGGAGGATTCCTTTATAAAGTGTTTTAGAATTTCATTTTTTTTTCATAGTGTGGAGTCCTCTGAATCAGTAGCCTCTCCCTTGCTTGCATTATGACAGTTGGAAACCAAAGAGGTTTTTTATAAATAAATACAGCCTTGTCATGTTCCTTTCCCAATTTTAAACCAATCAGTTGTTCCATATCCAGTTCTAACTGTTGCTTCCTGTCCCACATGTAGATTTGTCAGGAGATAGGTGGTCAAGCCCTCCTGTTTCTTGAAAACTTGCCATTGGTTGCTGTCATCCACACAGTCAAAAACTTTTGCGTAGTTAATGAAACAACTAGATGTTACGCACCTTTGCGTAGTTAATGAAACAACTAGATGTTTTTGTGGAACTCTCTGGCTTTCTCCATAATCCAGCGCATGTTAGCAATTTAGTCTCTAGTTCCTCTGCCCCTAGTTCTCGGTCCTCATACTGGTGAATCCTACCTTGGAGGATTTTGAGCATAACCTTGCTAGCGTGAGAAATGAGTGCAATTGTGCGCTAGTTGGAGCATTCTTTGGCACTGCCCTTCTTTGGGATTTGGGATGTAGACTGATCTTTTTCCAATCCTCTGGCCAGTGTTGGGTTTTCCAAACTTGCTGGCATATTGAATGTAGCACCTTAACAGCATCATCTTTCAAGATTTTAAATAGTTCATCTGGAATGCCATCACCTTCTTAATTCTGGCTTGGGATTCTAGTCCTGCCTTTCTCATGATACATTCAGCATGTAAGTTACATAAGCAGGGAGACAATATACTTGTCCGGGATATCCAGATCTTTCTGGTATATAATTCCTCTGTGTCAGCCAATGAGTAGAGACTGGTTTTGTGGTGGTGCTGAGATGATGAAGCAGAGGTCTGGACTTGTTCTAAATCTTGTATTGTCCATCCTTCAGAAGTGATTATGGCCAGGTCAGGATACTGACATTGTGCGATGAAAGCAGAATAGTTTTAAATACTATTTTGGAATCTAGGGGCTTAGACACAGATGCCTCAAAATATTGCAGTACTTTAATAATTCTAAGAAACCAAAACCAATCATCTCTCAGTTTGTCTGTGATCATGCGGGGGAATAAATTCACAAAAATTTCTTAACTTTTTTCAGGAAACATTTACAGTCAGTGGTGTTTAGCCAGTCCTATCTGCATCTCTTTTTGTTACTAGTCGAGCGGTTCCAACTCCTGTTTGATGTGTCTGCCGTCCGATACTTTTTTTTAAAAAAGGAAGATCCATGTGTTCTGTCTGTGGTACTTCTGTGGGCTGTGGACCCCAGTATTTGATAAAGAGCTGTGGGATTTTCCTTTTCCAATTCTTATTAATTCTTTCACCCTGAGTTTCTCCTGTTTGTATGTATTTAATAATAATAATGTGCCACCAACTCGATTCTGACTTATGGTGACTTCTTTTCAGGGGTTTCTGTGTTAAGAGAGTATTCAGAAGGGCTCCACCATTCCCTTCTTCCCTAGGGGGCCCCGTGGGGAACCGAGCTCCCAACCCTCTGGCTTCGCGACCAGATATCTAAATTACAGTGGTGCCTCGCTTTACGATTATGGGGATCCGAGCTCCCAACCCTCTGGCTTCGCGGCCAAATATCTAAATTACAGTGGTGCCTCGGTTTACGATTGCCCCAGATTACGACAAAACCACATTATGACGATCTTTTTGCAATCGCAATTGCGATCGCAAAACGATGGTCTGAATGGGGTTTTTTTCACTTTGCGATAATCAGTTCCCTGCTTCAGGGACCGATTCTTCGCAAAACGACGATTTTCCTCCAGCTGATTGGCGGTTTCAAAATGGCCACCAGGTAAATAAAATGGCTCCCCGCTGTTTTCTGGAACGGATTCCTCACTGCACAGGCACCGAAAATGGCCGCCCTATGGAGGAGCTTCACTGGACGGTGAGTTTCCAGCCCATTGGAACGCATTGAAGGGGTTTCAATGTGTTTCAATGGGCTTTTTATTTTTGCATTACGTTTTTGTTCTACAGCGATTTCGCTGGAACGAATTAACGTTGTAATGCGAGACACCACTGTACTGAGCTCACCTGAAAAATCACCGAAGGATTCACACAGGGGAAAAGCCCTACCAGTGTCTGGAGTGTGGGATGGGTTTCAGCTGGAGATTCAGCTTTCGGTTGCATCAAAGAATCCACACCGGAGAGAAGCCCTATCCGTGCTCAGAATGTGGGCAAAACTTCCGCCGAACGGCTGACCTGAGAAGGCACCAGAGGACGCACACTGGAGAGAAGCCGCATAAATGCTTAGACTGTGGGAAGAGCTTCATTCGGATGGCGCACCTGAAAAGTCACCAAAGAATCCACACAGGGGAGAAACCTTACAAATGTGCAGAGTGTGGGAAGCACTTTGGCTGGAGATTTAGCTTTGGGGTCCATCAGAGGATCCACACGGGGGAGAAGCCCTACAAATGCTCGGAATGTGGGAAAGAATTCAGATGCAACAACGAACTTTACTCCCATCAAAAACTTCACACCGGGGAGAAGCCCTGCGAGTGCGCTGAGTGCGGTAGGACTTTCCGCCTGCGCTCCTCTCTCAAGAGGCACCAACACGTCCACACAGGCGAGAAGCCCTATATGTGCCCCACATGTGGAAAAACCTTCAGTGTGAGAAGAAACCTGAGGCTGCATCAGCGAATCCACACGGGGGAACAGCCCTATCAATGCTCCGATTGCGGTCGGAGCTTCAGTTACAGCACCACCCTTAAAAGGCACCACCGCATTCACACCGGGGAGAAGCCGTACCAATGCTCCGAGTGCGGGATGAACTTCAGGCACACCACCCACCTGAAGAACCATCAGAGAATACACACGGGGGAGAAGCCTTTCAAATGCTTGGTCTGTGGGATGGGCTTCAGCCGGAACTTCAGCTTCCGATTGCATCAGAGGGTCCACACGGGGGAGAAGCCCCACGAATGTGCCGAGTGTGGCAAGAGCTTCATTCGGATCGCGCACCTGAAGAGCCATCAGATAACTCACTCTGGGGAGAAGCCCTATAAATGCCCCGAGTGTGGGAAGGTCTTTAGTCGGAGCACCGGTCTGCAAAATCACCAGAGGATCCACACCGGGGAGAAGCCGTATAAATGCTCGGAGTGCGCCAAGCAATTCAGATGCAGCTCCCATCTTTACTCGCACCGAAGCGTCCACTCGGGTGAGAAGCCCCACGGGTGTGCCGAATGTGGCAAGAGCTTCAGCCGACGCTCCACCCTTAAAAGGCACCAGAGAGTTCACCTAGGACAAGCCCTCAAGATGCCTGGCGTGTGGGAGGACCTTCAACTGGAGATACAGATTTAGAAAGCATCAAATAATAGTAATCTTAGGACTGCAGAATTGGAAGGGGCCCTATGGATCATCAAGTCCAGCCTCTCAGGGAGGCACTGTGGGGAATTAGAAGTCCCAGCCTCGGGCTCCACAGTCAGATACCTAAACTAGAGATGGGTGCTTTGTGCACCTGACAGCTTCCTATGAAGCTGTCAGTGTGGCACCACAGGTGACACACGGACTTTCTCCCCATCCCTTGGGCTGGCTGGGCCACTTTCCTGTTGTCGCTGGGAGTCGTCTTCTCCAGTGGCGTGCCAATCTGGGCAGGAACCTGGCTAGCACTTCTCCACCTCCTCAGGCAGCAGACCGCTCCTGACGATCTTTTTGCAATCGCAATTGCGATCGCAAAACGATGGTCTGAATGGGGTTTTTTTCACTTTGCGATAATCAGTTCCCTGCTTCAGGGACCGATTCTTCGCAAAACGACGATTTTCCTCCAGCTGATTGGCGGTTTCAAAATGGCCACCAGGTAAATAAAATGGCTCCCTGCTGTTTTCTGGAACGGATTCCTCACTGCACAGGCACCGAAAATGGCCGCCCTATGGAGGAGCTTCACTGGACGGTGAGTTTCCAGCCCATTGGAACGCATTGAAGGGGTTTCAATGCGTTTCAATGGGCTTTTTATTTTTGCATTACGTTTTTGTTCTACAGCGATTTTGCTGGAACGAATTAACGTTGTAATGCAAGACACCACTGTACTGAGCTATCGATGGTCTCCATGCATGTATTTGCATTCCTTTAAATTAAAAACTTGTAAGTTTTTTTTATCGAAGATCAATGACATTTCTTCTTTCACCCTAGTTAGAGACCATTTCATCTTCCTGGATTATAAAGGGTTTAATACTTTCTGACTGAATTTCTCTCTCTCTTTTTTCCCAGGTGATGGGAGCAAGGCCTCCACAGTGAGTGAATTACAAAGAAGGAACTCTCAGTTAAAACGACTGAGGGGGGACAATTCGACTGCTTTTAAAGGTGTCAGCCTCTGTGATGGAAACAAAAGGGGTCTTTGCCTTGGCGAGAACCTGCTGAAGAATGAAGAGGATGGGAAGCAGGAAAGAAATGGCAGTAGAGAGGAAGCTGGAGCCCGTAGTTCTTTGAAGAGTGGGAAGGAAGTTGGTTCCAGCTTAGGCCTTAACTTGGATCAGAGGCTCCCGACTGCCGAGGAGCTAAACAAGTGCTCGGAGTGCGGAAAGACCTTCATTCAGAGCAAACACCTTGAGTCGCATCGAAGAATTCACGCCGGGCAAAAGTTCTATGAATGTTTAAACTGCGGAAAGTGCTTCCGGCACAAAGCAAGCTTGAAATGGCATGAAAGAACTCACACGGGAGAGAAGCCCTACAAATGTCCAGCCTGCGGTAGGAGCTTCATTCGACTCTCGCACCTTAAAAGCCATCAAAGAATCCACACGGAGGAGAAACCCCATAAATGCTTGCACTGCAGGAGGAGTTTCAGGCACAGGACCACGCTCGTGACACATCAGAGGATCCATACGGGGAAGAAGCCCTACAAATGCTCTGTGTGTGGGAAAAGCTTCAGCAACTGCACCCACCTGAAAAATCACCGAAGGATTCACACAGGGGAAAAGCCCTACCAGTGTCTGGAGTGTGGGATGGGTTTCAGCTGGAGATTCAGCTTTCGGTTGCATCAAAGAATCCACACCGGAGAGAAGCCCTATCCGTGCTCAGAATGTGGGCAAAACTTCCGCCGAACGGCTGACCTGAGAAGGCACCAGAGGACCCACACTGGAGAGAAGCCGCATAAATGCTTAGACTGTGGGAAGAGCTTCATTCGGATGGCGCACCTGAAAAGTCACCAAAGAATCCACACAGGGGAGAAACCTTACAAATGTGCAGAGTGTGGGAAGCACTTTGGCTGGAGATTTAGCTTTGGGGTCCATCAGAGGATCCACACGGGGGAGAAGCCCTACAAATGCTCGGAATGTGGGAAAGAATTCAGATGCAACAACGAACTTTACTCCCATCAAAAACTTCACACCGGGGAGAAGCCCTGCGAGTGCGCTGAGTGCGGTAGGACTTTCCGCCTGCGCTCCTCTCTCAAGAGGCACCAACACGTCCACACAGGCGAGAAGCCCTATATGTGCCCCACATGTGGAAAAACCTTCAGTGTGAGAAGAAACCTGAGGCTGCATCAGCGAATCCACACGGGGGAACAGCCCTATCAATGCTCCGATTGCGGTCGGAGCTTCAGTTACAGCACCACCCTTAAAAGGCACCACCGCATTCACACCGGGGAGAAGCCGTACCAATGCTCCGAGTGCGGGATGAACTTCAGGCACACCACCCACCTGAAGAACCATCAGAGAATACACACGGGGGAGAAGCCTTTCAAATGCTTGGTCTGTGGGATGGGCTTCAGCCGGAACTTCAGCTTCCGATTGCATCAGAGGGTCCACACGGGGGAGAAGCCCCACGAATGTGCCGAGTGTGGCAAGAGCTTCATTCGGATCGCGCACCTGAAGAGCCATCAGATAACTCACTCTGGGGAGAAGCCCTATAAATGCCCCGAGTGTGGGAAGGTCTTTAGTCGGAGCACCGGTCTGCAAAATCACCAGAGGATCCACACCGGGGAGAAGCCGTATAAATGCTCGGAGTGCGCCAAGCAATTCAGATGCAGCTCCCATCTTTACTCGCACCGAAGCGTCCACTCGGGTGAGAAGCCCCACGGGTGTGCCGAATGTGGCAAGAGCTTCAGCCGACGCTCCACCCTTAAAAGGCACCAGAGAGTTCACCTAGGACAAGCCCTCAAGATGCCTGGCGTGTGGGAGGACCTTCAACTGGAGATACAGATTTAGAAAGCATCAAATAATAGTAATCTTAGGACTGCAGAATTGGAAGGGGCCCTATGGATCATCAAGTCCAGCCTCTCAGGGAGGCACTGTGGGGAATTAGAAGTCCCAGCCTCGGGCTCCACAGTCAGATACCTAAACTAGAGATGGGTGCTTTGTGCACCTGACAGCTTCCTATGAAGCTGTCAGTGTGGCACCACAGGTGACACACGGACTTTCTCCCCATCCCTTGGGCTGGCTGGGCCACTTTCCTGTTGTCGCTGGGAGTCGTCTTCTCCAGTGGCGTGCCAATCTGGGCAGGAACCTGGCTAGCACTTCTCCACCTCCTCAGGCAGCAGACCGCTCCTCGGCTGCACAGGGAGAATCAAGAGTGGTTGATGGAATGGTCAGCTGCTGGAGGAGGTGGAGAAAAGCAGCCCAAGCTACTGCTCGGATTGCTGCGCCGCTGGAGCAAGAGACCCCCAGTGACACACGAGAGCAGGTATGTAAGTAGCCCAGCCGGCCCAAGGGGTGGGGAGAAGGTCTGTGTAGCACTCATGGTGCCGCACTGACAGCTCCATAGGACATAAACTACTGAGCTATCCAGCAGTTCTCCAGAATCCACAATCCACACAGAGGACAAAATGTTCAGTGTATGGAAGGAACTTTCCCTTGAACTTTGGATTGGGTCAAAGAATCCACACAGAGAAGAAGCCGCACCAGTTCTGACTTGGCTTCTCACATCTAAGGGGTCCAGCAGGGGAGAAGAGCTGTAGATGTGCGGAAGGGAGAAAGAGCGTCAACCAGTGCTCAGACCATCTGAGACATCATAGAATTCAAGCAAGAGGAGAAGCAAGGGCCATCAAAGAAACCCAGAGAGATCCTGAGTCCTGTAGGTTATGGGATTCTGTTAATAGCCTCATTTTGGAGAAGTTTCAGATCCCAAGACAGAAAGGCGGTAGTGGTTGCTGCTGGATAAGGTCGAGTACAGACATGGTAGACTAGAAACAAATTGTTGTGTGTCAATTGTGGTTGTTACCAATCAATTTGCATAAGGGTATACAGTGGTGTCTCGCTTTACAATTGCCCCATTTAACGACGAAACCGCATTACGATGAACTTTTTACAATCACTTTTGCGATCGCAAAACAATGTTTCCTATGGGGGAATTTCACTTTGCGATGATCGGTTCCCTGCTTCGGGAACCGATTCTTCGCAAAACAACGATTTTCCAACAGCTGACCTGCAGTTTCAAAATGGCTGCTGGGTAAACAAAATGGCCCCCACTGTTTTCTGGGACGGATTCCTTGCTGCACAGGCAGCGAAAATGGCCGACCTATGGAGGATCTTCGCTGGACGGTGAGTTTACAGCCCCTTGGAACGCATTTTGTATAGGCATCCTTCAGTCTCGAGAGACTATGGTAACATGCTCTGAATCGAGGAGTGTCCTCTCCAGAGCATGAAGCCCGGGTAAGGTAATATGGAGGATAGGCTGTTACCCAAGCAGCAGATCCCCCCTCTCCACATTGCTGAAATGGTCCAATGGAAAGGCAAGAGCCAATACAACTGGTTCCAGCAACGTCGCAGGAGTTGGCAGAACAACACATGCTGCCTTCGGGACTCCAGCTCCGGATTTTGCCTCGAGGTTAACTCCTGAAGCCTTTTCCATGAGTGGATATAGCCACAAGGCAGTGGAGGTTTGAAAT